TTTTGAATTTAATCGCTCGATGAGGCGCAAACTCATTAGTGTGGGTTTGGTGCAAACGCCGCAATCACGACGCACGTTCGCTCCCTGAAAATGTGAAATTTCGTGATTTAATTAATTTCGCGTAGTCCGAAACACACGGGTCTGTTTGTAAAACAATGGCTTTATCATTTATTCGCGCGCAGTCAGTCGCTTTTCGGGGCCATGGAAATGTGTGTATGTGTGCGGCGCGCCCCAATTTGCATGCGTAATTAAAATATTAGATTAGCCCGTCGAGCGCTTCATTTTTGTTTTGCACCATAAAACAGGGGGCACAGAGGGGAACGGCGGGTGAGCGACTTAATTAAATCACTCTCGGCACTTTGTCAAATTGGAATGCGCGCACGTCTCGCATTTAATTGCGTCGCTGCCTCCGCATCTGAAATCCCACCTTGATTCCTGAGTGAGCTTCATCGTTTCTCAAATCAAATGTGTGAGAAACGCAACGCAAATTGTACAATTTAGTATCATATCTGAGTAGTTGAAATTTCCCACGAATTAGTTTACTCTGAAAATTAATTTTCTTCCTCTGTGATTAATTAACAAATGTTTTCGAAGGTTCTTTAAAAGTAAAATAAAGATATTTTTACAATTTAAATTAAATATTTTGAATTTATTTAATTTACGTTTTATAATAAATCCTTTTAAATAATCCTCGATTTAGTAATTTAACTTAATTCAAATTGATTATTATTAATAATTTATTATATCAAATAAATTTTTGAAAAAATCTTAGTTGAATTTACTAAAATTTATCCCTGAATTTCAATTCAGGAACTTAAATTCCAAATTCCAAATTATGCATAAATTCATTTTAACCACACGCGCTAATTCAGTTTGTGTTCGCATTGAATTCCCATGATTAAACTCGTTAATAATTATGAAATATTCAAATTTTGAATATTTATGTGTAACAAGTCCGTTCAAACTGAAACAGCAAACGAATGCTGGCATAAATTTCATTTGAATAAATTTGGCCCGCCGGCTTTTCATGGCAGCAGAAGTTATATATCCTGGTGAACATTTCAACCGTTTGAAATTCGCACACACGAGATGACACGAACGTTTCTGCACACACAATATTAACCATTAAGCCCTGGCGAAAGGTGGTCCTGACACCGTTAACATGAATATTCAAACGTCTGCCGACAGAGAAGCTGCGCCTTTGTTCTTTATGCGCGCACATTATGTATGATAATACTGCTCGCTTCCCGTGTGTGTTGATGTACATAGGTGTACCAACGTACGCACCGAACAATGCCTCCTCGTTCCGGCAGCCAGGGATTTCTGCCGTCGCTCCACTTCCATTAAAGCCCGACCAGATTCCCTTTGCGCGTATCACACTCGCATAGATTGAATGCACAAAACGGTGCGAGCTGCATTCATCGCTCTCCGTATCGGGACAAATTAGCCGCCGAGGGTGTAATGGCGGTGAAATTAATAACGCAGCTGGTAGGGATTTGCATTGTTGTAATGCGCCGTCAAACTCTCGCAGGTGTATCATTCATTCAAAACGGAACAATTGTTCGCGTAATTGCGGTGAATTGTTTTGTGTTCTACCAAGTATGTGTATAAGAAAGAAGTTTTCCGCGCGATAAAAGGTTGCTGAGCATTATTGAATCAGTCGGGCGAACGGCGCGTGTTAAAAGTGACACTTATTGCAACTTATGTTCTCCTCTGAGCACATAAACAGCTATAATGCTTTAAACTTTGCAGAACCAAGAGCCGGTCATGATAAACGCCATTTTTGCGTTCTTGTTAGAAACAAGGTATCATGTTAAAAAAACAATAATAAATAAATATCAAAGTAATATTAATAAAATATTTTAAGTATTAAAAAGATTTAATCAATCTTAAATATTCATTTTTCAATAAGGGAATCAAAATAAACTTTGTTAAATAATGTTATCATTTTAATAAAATAGTTGATAATATAATAAAAACAACTCCATCAGATTCACAAAAAATTATAATTCAATTTCTATTTCAAAATGCCACTTAAATGTGAATGCAGACTTTTTCGTTTCACTGTTAAACAAATGGGCCTCAGCAACAGTCATTCTATTACATTATTTCTAATCTCTTGGCCATTTGAAGAAACCACCGCAGTGCTGAAATGGATGGTTCGCCTGCATCGCCAGTATTAAATATCGCAGGGCACACGATACACATTCAACCGCAGACACACACGAAGAAAGCGACTTAATGATCAGCCAATTAAGTAAATAGCAACTAGCTCCAGCAATAAAAAAACGACGTGCTCTTTTAATTCGCCAGAAACACGAACCTCGTGGCATTTCGAGCTGCAAGAGTTGGAGGGTGGATCATCCATCATGCATCTCCCGACAGCGATACACGCGAGTCGTCATTAAGAACGAAATCAGACCGCTCCATCAGCACTCTAAATTAATTCCAGACGTCAGCGGCAGGACGAATGTGCCGACCATTATAAATGTCAGCTCTGAATAATGTTGCCGAACTCTACAATTACTTCACGGACAATGAGTCCTTTGTGCAAGCTCTGCCCTGCTCGCTCAAGGGTCATTTTGATCGAAGCCCTTATCTCCTCTCCGCCCCGGATCCATATTTATTCCCATATTGTGGCGAGCAACAACAACAAGTCCATATTTCTCGTATTACCTTTTCAAGAGCTCTTCCTCTCTCTCTCTCATTATTCTGCAAAATAATTGCTCCTCGGTGCGGACAGACCTGCTTTCTTTCATCTCTGAAAGTAAACAACAAGTTGTTTTGTATTCTGTCTTTCTCTCTCGTCTCAAAATAAGAAGAGATGGATGGTCTGCAGAAAGGAAATTCGAGCGGAGAAAGTCTCCAGCCGCACTCGACGTAAGAAAATGGGATGCTTCTTTTTTCGCCCACTACTCTTTTTAACAACGCTCGCGGTGCGAGGGCACCGAAGCGGATTCCTCCTCACTCAGTCGGTTTTGCTAAATGAACTGAGACCATTTTAATGAAAGCGAGCCCACAGAGAGTGTATCGATAAATGTGTGCCATTAACAATAATACACAGAAGAGCGAGGCAACAACCGACGCCTGCTTTTGTTTTCGCCGAAATCCTTTCACGAAAAAAGGGAGGAAGAAAAAAAAGCGGGATCGCTTTCTTCCTTTCTTCCCAGGAGAGAAAGAAAGAAGCCTTGGTCGGCTGGCTTTTCATCAAAAACACACAACAGGTTTGAATAATGGGCCGACCGAAAAATGAGAATGAGACCTCAAATGTTAATTAACGGCAGCAGGAAAACTGGGGAGAATATTTTCGCTGCAGTCAACAAGGTTTTACAGTGGGAATTCTTCTACCATTAAAGAACCGACATATAAAATTATCATCAATGACTGCTTTTTTTATGAAATTCAGAATTTTATAAAGAAATGTAAATGTATTTCATTGCACGCAAAATTATGAATCGAAATCACATTAAATACACTATAATTTTCAATGTTCAAATTATTGTTTTATGAAATTATTATTGGCCGTAATGCTGCGTGTGTTGAGTAAATAATATTTTTAATAATAAGAATACAGAATAATAATAATTTTATTAGTAATATTAATAATAATAATAAAAAAATAATAATAAAAATAATAATAATTAAAATATTATTAACAGTAATTTTATTGTAACAATATTGACAATAATAAGATCGATTTTAAAACAATTTATTTATTTTAGCACTTTTTTAATATTTTTAAACATATGCTACAGTTTTCAAAAAAATAATTTTTTTTACTGTTTTTTTATTAACACAAAAATGACGTTAGAGTATGCAAAATCCCGATGAGCGTTTCAGGGTCAACTTTCGGCCACCTGGCCCAACATGTTTAAAGATGAAATATTTTTCTGGATTCAGTGAAACGTGCACAGCAGTTTAAGTCTTATATGACTTGCAGGACTTTTTTAATATTGCACGCCGACAAGCCGAAAACAAAGCTGTCTGCGGCGTGTCCCGCGGCTATACCTCCTCCACAATCATTTCCCGCTAAATAATTAATGATCGCCGTGCAGAGTGAGCGACCTTCTTTCTGCTCGGTCTATCTCGGCCGACGGAAATTTTGCGCGCAGAGGAAAAATGCGCCACGGGCGATCGCTTTGACGTGAATAATGTGTGCACCCGCACACGCTGCAAAAGAGTTGGTCGAAGCAGACAAAGTTGCGACAAGCGGTGAGTTACATAATGCGAGCCACCCCTGGCCCCGGCGGCCCTCCTTTACTTCTTTCAATTCATTACCCCAACACAGGCAGGCCTTCTCCTTTTTTTTTTATTTTATTTTATACGCGCGCATACCAATGTAATGACGCCTCTTGTCCTCTCTCCGGCGCCCTTTAAAAAATGGGCACGCGCGGCCAAGGGTTTGCTTCGGATATTTACGGATCGCTCGTAACTTTTGATGACGAATAAATTGGCCGGCGGTTGTAAAACTTTACGTTTATTGGCCGATTAAAATTCAATGAAAATTGTGCGAGGTGAAGAAAAATGGCTATGGAAGCGAGAGCGCCGATTATGCGAGGGAAACTACGATCCTTTTAGGGAGATTGAAAATTGAGTTTGTAGAGAAAGTTTTTAAAAGAGTATTTAAAAGAGAATAAGTTAAGTTAAGCGCAACCAAAGAGATGAAAAGGAAATTTGATTCTTTACATTTTTAAGTTCCCGTTATGATAATCACTGAAAAGAAGTTAAAAATATCTTATACGCTTATGAAAATTCAATATTTGCAATAAACTGTGTAAAAATAGCTGAAATAATTTTTGGCGTCTCAATTTATAAATAGCGATTGGTATTATTGTTAGAAATACTCACAAAATGAAACTAATACGCATGTGAAAATATTTGATGTGCAGAAAGTTACATTTTCCTTATCTGTAAAATGTATGCAGAGAAAAACTGAAGCCCCGCATTTGTATTTATAATCAAGCAGTGACATTCAATGTTTGCTTTTTTCTGGTTCACAGGAATTCCGAGCATCTCGCGTCGCTCTTCCCCGTGGCAAGGTATGTATGGCAATTCAGCTCCAGCACACACGTGTTTGTATTGCACAAGAACGAAATAGAGGGCGGTGAATTGATCCGAAAGATTTCTCGCCGTATCAACAAGAACACTCTGCTCTCGGATAGAGTAACCGACGGGTTTTCGTGCAGCAACCAACCACTTTTCATCCAGCGAGGCGCACATGGAGCGTGAACATCACACGCTGCTCCTCCAAAAATAAAAATAACCAACGGAAAAGAAATAAAAAGAGGGAAGGAGGAAACCTTGTGCAAATTGCGCGCCGCCGAGATAGAATTAGACTCGTGAATAATGCAAAGTTCCACCTGCCACCTGAATATTCATGCCCTCTCCCGATTCCGCCCGCTCTTTCTCTCTGTGGCTCGAGTTTTGTTTTCTTTTAAAATTCATTAGAGTCGAGCGCGAGGGTTGAATGAGAGCGGCTTTCCGTCCGAATGTGGCGAATTCAAGCACTCTCTCAGTCAGCGGGAACATGCACTCCGCCTGAGCTGACGGGGTGCATTTCACCCGCCCTCGTTTTCCTCCCCGGGGAAGTGAAAAACGTATTCGCTTTATTTGGCCGCGTTGAGTGAAAAAGCCGTGTCGAGAGAAACATTTTCCTCCACATAAGTTTTGCATTTGGCAGGCGTTCAACGGACTCTCGCTACTCTTGGCCTCGGTTGAGATTCGGACGCAAAAAAACCTGCGGCGTCTTTCCACAGAATTTCGGCTGTTTGTCTTAAATTAATTAATTCCGCTTTTTGCTCACTGCCCTGGCGACCAGTGGATTATTTTGTGATACGCAAACCCAGTTGGGAAATCATCCAAGACAAACACACGCTGGAGAAAAGCACGAGGGGCGTTTGCACGAAATTATGCCCGACGAGTATTATCGCGCGCGTATACCGGCGAGGTCCACTTCGGAATGATACGCACACAGTACGAGTGCTGCTGTTTTCGCAAGGGAGAAGCGAGACGGCCCTTTCCTTGGGTCACGTCGTGTTTTCTTAAAAAATATACACCTGATCCGACTATTTGCACTGGCTTTCTGTAGACCATCGCCACAATGGTTATAACAATAAACGTTCGCTTTGAAAGGAACCTTTACTATGTGTATAGGTGTGAGATCACCTTTGTCCATTTCCAAAATTCACAGATAACACGAAATTGAAATTTGGTAAATTTAATCACCTGGATGGGTATTTTTATTGTTGAAATTAAAACCGCTTAAAATGAAAATCAGGAGTATTCTGTTATTTTCTTCTTTGCCAGTTCAAATTAATTAAGCAAAGCAAACCTGTGGGTGGCAGAATTTGTGATAAATGATAAGAAAAAAAACCAAGTCAACCGAGGCTCACTGCGGCGGATTGGGTCTTTTTTATCTCTGAAGATTTAGCCAAATTCTTGCTATTGGTGGTGCCATTTTGTCCAACAATTCCTTCTTTCAAAAAAAAAATTTTCAATTAAATATAAAAATTTATTTTGTAACAATGTAGACAAATAAACAACAATATTTATTTCATTCCACAAATCTTATTAAGACAACTAATATCTTATTTCCTGGTGGATGTGTATAAAAGAATTAAAACAGGTTTTTCATTTTACAAAATTGGCACTCAAGCTTTTCACCAGCTTCATTTTAATTTTATTCTTATTTGTTTGCACCTTTACGCTATATTTTTTTATTCCCTTTTCGCGTGGTTCTGTAATCTTTCAAAGGCCATTCTCATTTAGAAAGCCTTCCAACTTCACGTTCAGTACTCATCAAAAAGACGCTCAGCCCAGCAGTTTTGCAATCCTTCTAGTTAGAAAAGTTGCCTCCGTAATTGCATCCTCCTTTCATGGCTTTTCTATTTGCATGCTAATCCTCTTGCGCGCAAATAAAAAGCATTCACAATCGAATGCAAAGAGTCCTGCACAAGATGCATTTATCCGAGTGAATGCATAAAACCGGCGCTCCGTCCGGCGACAGTGAATTTCTCTTTTTATAGTAGAATCTGGTGAAAAGGCGCACTCGCTCTCGTTCGCTCTTTCTCTCTCTCTCTCATTCATGCACTTCTCGGCGTGCTTTTATGTTTTATTTGGTTTTATTTTACGAACGACAAAAGGCCTCCCGGGACGTGGCACACATTTCTCCGGACTGGCGATGTGTTTGGCTTGCGGGTGTCATTTTCCACCGAGGCCTTCCTTCCTTTCGTTCCTTCGTCTCATCGTCGGCGCTGATGATAAAGGGAATAATATCGCCAAGATTGCATCGCAAGCAGCTCTCGCTTATCCCGCAAATCGCGTCCGCCGCCGCTTTGTGTCTCTCTCAATTACACTCGTTCCGCCGGCAACGACCTGGCCCGCCCCGCGGACACGAATTGGGCCCGCCAATCGAGCAGAAACGTCGTCGCCCTCGTAAAATCATCCATCCCCCAAGTAGGTTAGCTCAGGAATTTACGACGCCGCCGACGCCGCGCCGACCAAATGACTGATTTCGTTTCATTACTTTGACCTTTCCGCGCCGTGCGCCGCTGCCAATTTTAAACTCGCTCGTCGTCGCGATTTAATGCACGATTTGCTTTCACAACCTTGCAAAGTAATCGCACCATTTTCAAGAAATATGCTTCGCTAATGCTGCGAGACCAAAACGCCGCTTTACAGCTTTTCGCAGCCTCGGATGGATATTACTCGTCGTTTTATGATTTTGGCAGCGCTGAAAAAGTTATGATCACTAAAAATTGTGAAGTCAGAGTTTTTTTTGAAGTGTCTAATCTGAAACCTTTCCTGTTTTTACTCGTTTGTTTTTTCATTGTAAAAATTTGAAGGTTGGAAAACTTAGTAAACCAAGGCTCACTGCGGCGGATGGGGTCTTTTTGATTTCGGAAGTTTTAGCAAAATTCTTGCTAGTGGTGGTGCCTTTTTATTCAACAATTCTTTTTTTAATATATTGGTTCCAACAATTGAAAGTAAATAATGGTAACAATGTAGACAAGTAAGCAGCAGCAACAACAGTAATAATAATAATAATAATACTAATAACTGGAGGAATTACAGAACCTTAAGCTCTGCCTTTGTACCTTCCGAAGTGGAAGTTTAAGAGGTGTTGCTCAGCTATACGGAAGAAAAAATTAAACAAAATTAACCAACGTATCCACACAAAGTTTTAATCATTAAATAAACAAGATTAAGTTTTTAAAAATTGCCAATAATAATTAAATTCATTTTTTTACCCAAATATATCTCAATTTGATTTGTTAAATGCCTCCACTTACGGTTTTTGCACTTACAAAACTTGTGAGGGAACATTCCTGTAAACGGTTTCTCTCTGGGGGGCATTGCCTTTGTCCCTGCTCTCACTTTAACGTGTTTTATCGCTGGTGCGCGGGGAATGCTCTTGGTGCACATCTTTCTTGCATTTTATTAAAAGCGCGAGCGTCGCTGTTCCCCGACCCACCATGGGCATATATTTAGTACTTAAGATGATCCGGCGTCTCCCCCACATAATAAATCATCAAAGACAAAGAAATTCCTTTTTACCAAACTCATTATACGCCTTCTATACGCACACGCGTATGAACATTTAACTCGCGCAGCCCTGCGGCGACGGGCTTTTTGAAAATTAATAATTCACCAACCCTTTGAGTTGGGCCGGCAAGGAAATTTCACATCATAATGAAACAGGGTTCCGCCGGCGAATTTTGAATTCGCTACACAATGTTTGAGCACCGTGTCGTGGCGTTTCACCCTCGGTTTGAATGAAACGCCGGCAAACTGGCACTTTTTCACAAAAGTATGCAAATTACGTGTCAGGCTGCAGCTTTGATTCCTGATGAATCGCCCTCGGTGCTGTTGAATGGCGGCCTAAAAAAGAGCGGGAATTAAAGCTCACCAAACCAGTGCCAATTTGAAGACAATCTTTTTTTTTTATTAAAAAAAATCATGTCTTTATTTTAAAGCAAAAGATAATCTCGCAATGACTTTAAGAGGACGGACTAATGACTGCTTTGCTAACATCAGAGGCATTGCACCAAAACTCTCAGCTAAATTTGCGCCATCCACTTAGCTAGACGCGCGGAAATGGATTTTTGAAACAAAACTTTTGACGAGTGCGAAACAAGCCAAATCCGGCGAAAGCTTGGTGCTCCTCTTTTTTTTATAGTAATCTCCAGTTGGCAAAATGCTTTTAAACTAAAAAGTTGCCGGCCGTACGAAATTTTGTTTATTGGGCGGCGCTTTTAAAAAGCTCGGCACGGAGCGAGAGTGCTAAAAGCAGTCCTGCTAGCTCGAGTGGTATCTTCGCCGGCCATGACCGGAGAGCACTCTCGCGCTCTGTTTTCTTTATCCACCTTCAAAGCAGAGACCGCTTTTTCTTTTCTCGGTTGCGAGTTCTGTACTCGCAAAGTCAGCTAGGCCCGCCCAAACGCACGTGTACGGTCTGTGTGCTGCATCGCAGATGCCATTTATTGTACAGTAAATCTTCCAATGTGCTGCGGAACAATAAAAACAGAGAGAGCAGTAAGCGCTGGTAAAGGAGCTTAAAGTTGGCGCGAGACACTTAATATTATTGAAGTTGCGCCATTGGTCACACGAGAGAGCAGAGCTAGCACGGCCGGGCGCCAGATAAGCGGAATAATAATGGCAACATCTTTGAACACTTTGTCTCTTTGTAGGCGATGTAAATAGGGGTGTCCAGCGCAGCAACAGCGAGAAAGCGGATAGATTAATTTTCGGATTACAACACTTCTTTTGTGTTCCCAAAGCACCAGGGAAACGGAAATTCACCAGATTAAACAAGGCACATATAAACAAATCACTTTTAACTTTGCCAATTTTAGAACAGAACAGAAAAATAGCATTATTTGTTCCAACTAACGGATTTTAATTGAAGATTGGAAATTAAGATCTCAGTTGAAGATCTCTACATTCAAAATAAAATTGATACTATTTATAATTTTCTTTTATTTATCTTAACAAAAATTTGGTTGAATTTTGACCGAAATTTTTTTTAAACGGAATTCAT